CAACGTTTCAGAGGTCATACTGCCTCCGTCATCAGAGTATGAAGATTTCTGTCTTCTGGGTTCTTGCGCTGTGTAGTCTGGTCGATGTTTACCAACGTTTCAGAGGTCATATTGCCTCCGTCATCAGGGCGATGACTCTTCATACTCACCGCTGTGAAAACCTCAAATCATACAAGAGTATTGTTTGACTATTGTTTAATTCCAAAGCATCTGCACGTGATGTAGATCGACTTACGTAAACCACGCTGCACTTTCTGAGCTCATCAGTCCATCTGTGTCCTGAGCTGGTGTAACATAGAAATTTTGTAACTAGGCTAAGGATTTGGTTCTCGGGTAAGATTTATTTTATTACGATGGAAAAACCGACTGTTTTACCAACCGAATCTCCAACCCAGTGAGTAAAGCTCTGTATGTGATTAGTTATATTTCTAAATTCCATTAAGAAACAAACATATATACACATGACACGCTCTGAAAACAGTTGATACAAGAATCTTGCGTAATGGGGTGTGAATAATTTTAAACGTACTAAGCAATTCCTTGTTTCTCTGAACATTTAGCACTAGATGGCAGAGCAGTATTTTATTGGTACGCCAAACCATATAGAATTATATGTTTTAATCGCGCCCAACAGACAAATTCTAGAAGACCTACAAAAGTGCCCGACCATTCTGGCTGTGGAAATGTGGTGAGAGTAAAAATGCTAAGCTCCTGCAAGTGGTAATTATATACGAGTATATATCAATTAAGAAACATTAAGTTGTGCTAATTACTTATTTATTGGCGGAAACTAGTTATAGTAGTACAACATACAAATTATTTTATATTTCTTGTAATAGTTTTCAGATTGATATTTATAACTCATATATCCTAAAATAACTTCGTAATGCAGCAGTCAATGCAACGTCTAAGACACCTTTTGGTTTGCAGTATTAATTATAACCTCGCATATAATCATACGTTTCTGGGATCGTTTCAATAGACTTTGTAAAAATGCATATCTTTAACGAAATAGCATTGTATAATATACCGGTGCGAGGGTATATGTGTCAGTCTTACAATTTCTGAAACAAAAAAGAATTTTCGACAATTCCATACAAATACTTTTTATTGGGTTCTTCAAAACTTTACACAGCTTTGATAACTTGAGGCTGGAGTGCTAATTTTAATTAGTTACCAACACTATGAAATAAATGTCTCTAAACCATGTATTATACAGCGCTTATAAGGTTTTTTGACTCGTATAATATACCCTGAAACCGTTGGGTTGTTCTGAGGTGAGACATTAGGGATGTTACTATTAGAAATTTCAATGAGAAATTGGCAAGGATAAGTATTTCAGTCTTAGGTCATATTTAAACGACTTTAAACGAATTTCCGCCAATAAATAGCCTGATTATAAACGTTATAAAGATACCACGCGCTTCTAATATTACAAAATGTATGGCAGGTTTAATATGAAAATAGAGTTAATGAGAAAGACGTGTTTTTCAGACAACTACTCTCATTTATTCATATTTAAGAAAAAATTCGAATGGGGTAACTGCCTATATTAAAACCTACACCAGATTTGTACTTCTTTATAGCCAGTTGACGTAAATATTGGACCACTTCTCTTCTGAAAGTAGAGTTGCAACGCATAGTCGAATAGAAGACTTATCCGCGAGTATGATTTTACAACTGCACTCCCATCGGAAAATAATAAGATTTTGGCGTAAAGGATTGGCTAGGACAGAGAGAGAGAGAGCTGTTACATTTTGTAAGACGTATTCTGATAATTAAAACAGAGAATCAGATTCATATTAAAACAAACTTGGAACTTACCCCGAACGAGTAAATCGTGATTTATTTCGCTACGAATTTTCTAAAAGTCGTAATTATGTTACAGTCCAATTTTCGAAAATGTTTGCGAGTGTCTACTTTAGAAGTAACAGCTCATAAGATAAAACTATTCTCTCATCGTTGTCGAATACCTTAGCAATTTGATACAACAGAAGTATCAGCAAGTATAAAGTTTACTGGAAACTTGTCTTTCAATGCACTAGAAAATATTTGTTGCATGCCACTGACATCGAAACTCGAAGTGAACAGGATACAAAATTAGACTTACAGCAATATCTAGTGGAGAATTCGGAAACCACTTTTATGATGCTGCCATCTAGGAGGCGAAACGTGATTTATTGTTTCATAGTAGTGGAAATGTGAATGGTTTAACAGATACAAAATATCTCCAGAAGTTTGACAAGCTGAGTTCTTGTTTGTGCCGACTAAGGACGACCTCGTGGTGTTTCTGGAGTGGGTGGCAGCGTTGCCAAGTAGTCGAGGGCCCTCTGGATTGCGATTGGTATTGGTGGTGATGTGGGCAGATGGTCGCCTTGAGGGGCGAAGCCACCTACGTCATCCGCAACGTACTGAAGCGTGATTTGAATTCCTTCCGGGCTCGTGTAAGTATAGGAGCCCTGGGTTACAATTACGTTTCCGTCTTCCGGGGCAGCTGCCTTTTTCAGGGTTCCAACTTCTTGTGCCTTTATGCCGTTAGCAGTTTCGTAACTGCAATGAAAATAAATCAGACCTCTGATGACACTTCTCGACTATTTTCAGTAAAATGGTCAAACTTCAGTTTCATGATCAGCTACTAAGTATTGATCAAATGTTAGACTTTACTGATGTCTTCGTAAACACTTTAAATCGGAAAAAATATTAATAATGCCACGGTGTCGGAATAAATATTAATAATGCCACGGTGGTCTAGCGGTTAGAACGCTGGCCTTGTAATCCTGGGGTCTCGGGTTCGATTCCCGATCTAGGCAACACGGAGTTTTCCTCCGGGGGTTCCCCGGTTTCCCCGTGGCATCCCAACAATTACTCCATTCACACACAGAAGAAGGCAATGGCAAACCACTTCTGGATCATCTGCCAAGAACGTATATGAACAGGTCCCAGTCCGAGAAAAGGAAGGAAGGATCCTGTTCATATGGACCTGACCTGTCGTCAAAATAAAATATTAATATTACTTATAGATATCATTTGTAGTACTCAGTATAGTCTGTTTGTACAAAAACTATTACACTATGTAGATTATATGTGAACTCAATGACATTTTGATATATTTCTTGTCAGTTATGTCTGACACTGTACTTGAACATCTCCATAATTTTAATATGATATGCATTAAGTAGGAGTCTAAAATAAACACAAAGTGGGCAAAAGCGTGATTGTTACATTTAGTACAAATATAAAGACTCGTAAGTATAATTTGTTACTTGAAAATTCAAAACAAAGCAATCAGGTTTTTAGGCTTTTTACAAATTTTGGCTAAGGTTGCGTTGTGCACTTCTGTAACGCCACTTTAGCAAACTCAACGGAATGGCCGTAAACTTGCCCGAAATTATTTACTATTATGCACACAAAACAGAATATTTTATCTTCTAATGCAAGTGAACGCCTAATAAATTTCAGGACCGAAGTTCGATATGTTGCGATAATGTTTACACGTATTCTCAACGAAAAGTATAAGATTCCTATAAAGTATTATATTTTGCAATTAACTTAAACTAAAAGGCTTTACGTCTGTGTTAATCAGAACCAACCTCAGATGGAGAAGTCAAGTCACGAGATTTCAAGGGCAGAGTGACAAACAAACCTATTTCATTGTTCCAAGATTAAATAAATTATTGTCTTCCTGCAGTGTGTCTGGCCACTAGTGCCTCTGATACATGTAGTGGAGGTCCCCCGTCCAAACTAGGCTATTCGAATGGGGTCTCCTCAGTTTCTGAAGACGAGTGACGACATATAAACGCTCATTCACTTCCGGGCCTCTCACTGACGTCACTCGTTGGTACTCTATTCTTATAGTCGTGAAACGAGATTAGAATTCATAGGTCAGCATTCGTCCAACAAATGTTAACAAGAAAATGTCTGTCTTCTGGGTTGTTGCGCCGTGTAGTCTGGTAGATGTTTACCAACGTTTCAGAGGTTCTTGCTGCCGCCATCATCAGGGCGATGAGTCATGTCAGTTGGATACTACTTTTGTGCAGGAAACAACGAATATCTATCCCAAAACACTCGACATTTTATTACAAGGGAGTGTGAAGAACGAGGAGATCACATGGAAAATTTGGAGACATACCGTGACAAACCTTGAAATTTGTTAAGGAAAGACAGTAAAATATAAATAAGACTAAATATCCGTAAAAGCCGAAAATCGGAGAAACCATGAGCCTTTTGCTAAACCTCTACAACATAAGAATACTAAGAAAGTATTTTCTGCACGTCGAGAATGGAATTATTTTGTGAGCTAACAAAATGGGCATATATTAATGACATTTTGGCCTTATTGTATTTAAGGGCTTCCGACATTTCATAAATATTTATGCACAGAACAAAATGCATCGTAGAATTCACTTTCTGACCACCGGTACCGAACATATTTCCATTCTGTAACTTCTATCATGATGTAGAACCAGTCACCAGATCAAGAAATTATAATTATAAAGATTATTACCATGCTCAAAAGATCCAGCTATTCTTAACACAATGAGCCCAATCCACATTCTCCCATAATATTTTTTAAGATTACTGTTGTCATTATTATTTCTGTATACACCCAGGTCTTTATGGTTTTTCCCTCCAGATCTTCCAAACGAATCTGCGTGCTACATACCAACCCATCTCAACCTCCTTGATTTGATCGCCAAATAACATTCGACGAAGAGTACAAATTATAAAGATCGACGTCGAATAGTTTTCTCCTTCAGGCTTGAAGTTTTCGTGGTAGTCCATAAAATTGTGCAGTCTCTGGGTATCCGGCCGTGTCGAAATTTGATAATTACCGACGTTTCGGTGGAATTTACTGTCTACTGTAGTTACTCTGAAACGTTTTAGTTCTACCATTTCGATATATTTAGATGAACTCAAGACTCAAAACGGTATTCCACTTTATCAGATGTAGTACAAGAAGCTAGTTTTTCTGTTTTACTTTTTTAAAATTCGTCAGTTGGTTCAAAATATATTGAATAGGAAATAGAGTAAGGACAGGAAAAATGTCTTGTTTTCTAGGAAGCAAGGAGCGTAGAGTACACAACTAATTAACTAATTAAGTAGCTGGCTCAGGAAACCCGAACATTCATCACCGAATTAGAATACACAAAATTAAACAAATTTATAAAACTGATTTCACTAAAGTCAAACCATGCATATATTAAGAAACCGGACATCGTTTAAATAGGGATAATAGAACTCACCTGTACTCATAAGACCCATCGGGGTTGTATTTGCTGTTTTGGCTTTTGATGGCGATAGGTTCCTCTGGTTTTTGAGGGGCGGCTGACGCTAGAGCCACCACAGTGCCCAGTACGAATATAAGCTGAAAATCAATTACAGTTACCTGTGAATTGTTTCCCAAAAATAGATGTCGCTAATTATCTGACTGACTCTACAAAATACAGTAATTCTTGATTAGCTTACGTTTTCTCAGCTTGTAATAAAATTTCTTACCTTTTATCAAATATGGAAGCTCATTACTTTGTTCACGTCTCTTACCTGAATTTTGTCCTGAAGAATATAACACAGATCACATCCCTAATCCTATTTGTTTAATATTGTTCTCAGATCTGGATCTAGATCTTCCAAAGTAATGTCTCTCTCTCTAGGAATTTCCGATCAAAATTTTGTGTTATTTTCTCATATATGGCTGTGTCACCGTTGTGTATTTAAGTCGATATAATCGTTTATTTGAACCGTTCTTTACTGTGATGTGTCTGACAAGGTTAGATTCGTCCCTGTAGGTGCTAGTGGAAAGTATGCACATAAATCGGTCCTTAAATTGCACAATGAAGAAAACAACAAGGAACTTTTAGTGAAGATGGCTGTCTTCTGGGTTGTTGCGCCGTGTAGCCTGATAGATTTCTACAAACGTTTCAGAGGGCATTGCTGCCTCCATCATCAGGGCGATTGAGGTAGCAAGGACCTCTGAAACGTTTGTGGAAATTTACCAAACTACACGGCGTAACAACCCAGAAGACAGCCATCTTCACACTCACCGAAGTGAAAACCTCAAATCCTACAACATTTAATCAAAAGATTTGTTATAAGTTTTTTAACATTTGTTCCACCTTCACACAATAGGATTTATACGGTTAAAACAGAGTATTTAAATACAATTCTTATTGTGTTTGCCCTACAATTTTCAAGATCAGGACATAAGACTTTCGTTTAAAATTGGACACAATCTGCATTCGATTCTTGAAACAGTCAGTGAACTTAATGGTCTCTAGTCACGAAATAGAAACAATTAATCATTGGTTACTCTTAACTGCCCGTATAATATTCATTGATACCGCAATAGCAGAATGAAGACGGAAATACATAAAATGACCCAGAGAGGTAGATGGGAGGACAGATTAAATCCCTTTCTGAAGCTTCAGCGAAACTGTTAACTTCATTCAACCGGCGAACAAGTTTTTCGGCAATAATGAACCCCTTAGCAAAACTTCCGTTGCATGAAGTTTGTTGTTTCGTCAGTCATTCGGTGAGTTAAGACAGCAACTGCATGTCAGTAACTGTAGACGGAATGCATGGTGTTGCCTACTGGCTTGTTCAAAGTTGGTGTAGTCATGCCAACGTTTCGTCAGTCAGAATAACTACGTTTCAGTTTTCTTACGCCCAGTGACCATCTTGCACATTGCCGTGACACATTTGAGCCCATATTCAGAAATATTACGAAGTTAATATGTAAAATTTTGATATTACTCTGTTAGATAGATGCCACATACTAGATTACAGTATTGTGTTTCGTAATACAGCAGAAGTTATGAATGTTTCTGTCACCTAATTGATTCTCTTGAAAGTCAAAAAGTTGGCACGCTATGTGACTGTAAACTCTAAATTCGCCCGTTGTCTTCCTCATTTTATAACATGAGGATACCAACTGTCGCCGACCAGTAGGTGTCGGAAGGTCGCGAGTTAAATTTATGGCCTGAAGACCGGAAATCCTCACTAAGAAAATTTTAGTTTTTTCCTCAGTCCCTACAGGCAGATGCCTAAATATTTCCTTAATTTAGACCACGATCGCTATCTTCCTCATTCATTTCAATTTATTTTTCAGTAATAATGCTATAACTCAATACTATATAGTATAAAGAAATTGGATACGTCATTAAATAAACAAAAATATTATTAAGAATGATACGTAACACATTAACTGTTTCAACGCTGGGTATAGTACTTTACACTTCTGCGTGAGTCCCACCAAGCGGATGATGATATATTGCCTTTAAATAGGCCACGACCGTTTTTTTAATATTTATTTTTCATCTACATTACTCATCACTCGTTTTGTCTAAATCTATGCAATCACTGTAGTTGATACGCCGTTGCTGAACTAGGCAAAGAAGTAGCTAGTGAGTTACTACAGGCCACCAAGCTCTTTGACGCCTTGTCCTTAAACCTCTCATTTCTGAGAGGAAGAAATTTGTCGTCTCCCGCAGTGGGAATCCCCTCTTCAAGTTTCCCAACCTCGCGCCGCGCTGAGACACCACAAGCATGCTATAATGGTACTATACATACCGTATTCATGTTCCTCCGCTGCTGGCAAGATTCCTTTGCGTCGGATAATTCAGAGGTGTGTGTCGGCTTGGGTGTCTCGTTGCTGGTATTTATACCTTATCCTTCAGTTTAACATGTTTTATTTCTTGTCTCCAGTCATGCCGATGGTATTCTCTCTATATCATCATCTACGATGTTCAGAGGAGGAGTTAACGTACTAGCCTCCCTCCCTCCTTTGCTACTTAACATATAAAATTATCTTATTTTTCCATAATCCTCTTCTTATGGTATTGGCAAGTGTTAATATCGTACAACAGTTGTGACAGAGGAAACATGAAAGAGATAAAACAAAAGAAAGAACATGTCACGTGAGAAGAATAATTTATCATCGTATGTGATATTCATTTATTTGTTCTGGGACAAGTTTTTATCCTTATAAAGTGTTAAGTCACAGAGATGAAAGAATTAGTAGCCCAATTAAAATTCTGTAACAAAACTAAACCAGAGAAAACAAGGAAAATAATTGATGAGTTTTTTTGCAAAGGGACAGTATATTAGAGTATCTGTCCGATACAAGAATCGACTGGGTGTCGGGTTTATGATACCTACAGGCTACAGGGATCTAACATTATGGCTACTTCCATGTTTAGGTCTGAATGTGTGATGTTGGTAAAACATTAGTACTGAAGAAATTTTTTTTTCGGTTACGCGTATTATCAGTTTGCCTCCGTGTA